CATAGCCTCATTATTTGGTTCAGATTGATCCCTAGGGAGCATCTCAAAAGCATCCCTCATCATTTCATTAGATCTAAAATTTTCAACATTAATATTCTCCGCTATGGGACTACCTTCTTCACCACCAGATGAGTTCTGAAAATGAACACCATCTACACTAGCATGACTCTCCCCATGCACAGTCCACATATAATAATTTTTCATAAACCTCTTCTTATACAAATGAAAAGTAAAAATATTGGGCCCCAATAACTTAAGACACTTGCATTTCACACATGGGCACCTAATCGTTCCTTCCACAAGGAAATCATCAATTGTCTTTGCCTTAATAATAAAGCTAGCAACCCCTTCTATAAATTCATCCTACAACCCTTACGATTCAGATGATTCCTATTATACATCCATTTACGATGCCCAAATTTCATCTTCATATAGAAAAAAAATTAGAAGTTGAAATATTTATGTTATTTGCCCTAATCAATAAATTTTATTCTTCAAAGGTTACATATCTAAATAGTTTAATTATATATTTTAGTGTGATTTGATATTTCAAACCAATGAATTTATTCAAGCAACCTAAAATTTAATACCATTTCAAATCAATGAATTTATTATATTTAATAAACTTTAATATTGCAATTATTTTATATATTTACTTCACTGTTGTTAAAGTTATACTAGTTACATCACATAAATAATATAAAATACAATTGGAGCTCTTTACAAGATGAATCAAAATTAATGTTATAATTATTCAAGATTGAATAGTTTTATTCCTAATTCTATACCATACGTAAATTACCATACAAATTGAAGATTACTCCTATTGAAGAAGAATATAAAAGAATACATTATTCTTCATTTCAACCATAATTTTTTATTCAAAAGAAGAAACTCCTAATTTTAATTTTTTTATTCAGAAGAAGATTAATTTTAATTTTACTCAAGGCTCTAAATAATATTTTTTTCAAGCTTAAAGAATAATTTATTCTTTATTTCAACCCTAATTTTAATTCTAATATTTTCATATTCAAACTAAAAATTCTAAAACTCTAATTTTAATGACAATACAAATAAAAAAAATAAATATATTGACAATCAAGGTCGGGTAAAGGATGAAGGAACAACTTACCTCGCCGGAGAAGATGCTAGTCGCCGGAGAAGACTCACACTGTCGGAGACAAATAGACAATACCTGAAAAATAAAAATAAAATAAAATGGGGGTTAAAAATAGGGTTTGCCACGCGTAATAGGGATGAGGGAGAGAGGGAAAGAGAGACGGGGGAGAGTGGTACCGCCGGATTTGAAGTCGACGGCGACAGTGAATCTCATATGGCGACGGGGGATTTGGTGGGCGAAAAGAGTGAAGAGGGAAAGAAGAGTTTGAGAGAAAAAAGAAGAAAGGGGTCAGGCCAGGATGTAATTAACGTTTCCGACCGATTCGGTCGGAAATAAATTTAATTTTGAAAAGCGTATTTTTTCGATCACTTTGGTCGGTAGTTTACTGAAAAAATAATTATTTAAATATTTAAAAGTTTTCCAACCAAATCGGTTGGTAACTTAAAAAAAATTAATTTGAAATTTCCGATGAAATCCGTCGAAAACATAAATATAATCAAAGGCAATAACTTGGAATTTTAATTACCGACTGAATGCATTGCAAATAAATTTTTTGGATTTTTCTGCCAAAACCTTGCGACCAACAATGTCGGAGTATGTTCGAAATATTATAAAACAATATTTAATAGTATTTTTCTGATTTTCCGGCTGAAATGGTCGGAATCTTCTGACTACAATTGTACGTAATGTTATCAAATATTTGTATACTAACTTTCCAGTAAAATGTTTTAATCTTTTTGAGACACCTTGGATCATTCACCAATCAGGCATTTCTAATTGAAAAATATTACCCACCGTTATAAGTCAGTAATGTGGGTTAGTTTGGATTACTTAGTGTTGAGCGCCTGAATGCGGAGGAACTAATGTCTAATGTTGGTCGTTTGGTACGAGATATAAGAAGGTATTGTGCTGGTATAAAAATTTAATATTACCTTAATACTTTGTTTGGTTATTAATTCCTGTATAAGTTATTCTGAGATTATAATTAGTACCGGGATAACTTATACCTTATAGAGGGTGGGGTAATTAGTATCGGGATAACTTATACCTTTTTCTTAAAAATTATGCAATTATTATTTTTAATACAACATACCAAACAATGGATAAAAAATAATCACAACATAACTAATCTCAGCATAACTTATCCCGATATAAATCGTATTCAAACCAAACTACCCGTGCTAGTTTCTGTTGTGTTAAATCTCATTTAGTTGACCGGAAGCTTGAGCACTGAAAGATTTTCGTGATTTTCTCGTACATTTATGTATCTTTTTTCGCCCCCCTTTACAAATATTTAGATTTACTGTCGGGCTCTTCAATCTAAGTTAAGGTACAATCATAAAACAATAATATTAAATTTTTTTGATTTGTAGCAGAAGATAATTAGAGAACAAATTTCAATTATAGTAACTTTTCAATTGAACTCACACTTAGAAAAGGTTAGAGTTCGGGTCTACATGAATAATTGAATATTGCTTCACGTGCTGGCAACTTTACGGGGAAAGTCAAAATTTGCATATAATAAGTAAATAATTTGTCCATTACATTTGTTTCAAATTAGAGGGCCTATTGCCATGGCCGGAGCTACAGTTGTGTGCGGGTTCGGATGAATTCAGTGACTTTTTCGAAAACTCTGTATTTGTATTAAAAAATTTAATATATATATATATATATATNTTAGCTGGGAGACACCCGAGTTCGATTCCCGCTGAAAGCAATGTTATTTTTCATTGTTTTTTACAAATTTGTTAGAAAGCACAAATGAGTAAACGACGACGTATAATTTCTAAATAGCTCCAACGACAATTCCTCTAACCTTCCTCTAAACTAACATTTTTAATAGCTTTTTTCTTTCTAATAAACAAAAGACAAAACTCTTAAAAAAAACAGACGCCTTCCAACTCCAAACAGCGACGAAATCTAAATTCCCAAATAAAAAAAAAAACTAGGGTTCTGCTCTGAGACTCTGTCTCTATTGATCGGCTTTTGCTGCTAGTTGCTACCACTTTCTCCCTTAGAAGTTAGACCCTTCTTCCTTCAACTCTTCTTTTCTAATTTTTTACTTCATGTTTTTCTCCTATATTTTATATTTGATTATTTATACAAAATCTGATTTTTCATCTTTGATTTCAGGGTTGTCCCACATTTTGACCTCTATTCTCTTTGTCAATTTGTGCTTTTGTACTTTCCAAAAGTTCAAACTTGGAATCCTCGACAAGCCGACAGACAAGGTATGTGGTACATTGGTCCTACTTTCTTGTTTATAGTTTCTTAATAAGACCAACTTGCATTCAGATGGGTACTACTTAAAGATAAAATTATTATTATATTTTATATAATAAATTTGGGAAGCAAGAATATTAATTGTAATAAGAATAGGAATGTGAGGCTTAAAATTTACTATGACTTAATCATGAATAAAAAAATTATTCTACCTTTTAGACAATCATGGCTCTCTTTTGACTAACTGTTATTTTGGTGTTTAAGATTTGCACTGAATTACTATTCGAATCATTAGTCAAATATGTAATATGTTGCTCTAGTATTATTTTCACATAGGCTAATACTAAATTATTTGTAAAAATATACTCAAGCACAAACCAGCCAAGACTTGAAGCATCGTGAAATGTGAAACATACAGCTTGAAGTGTAATTTGTATTTTGTGATTTTTAGGGTTTTCTAGCAAAAGTCGATATGATCACAAATTTTTACAAAGCTCAAGCTTCTGCAACTTCTTCTAGCTCTCCTTTGCCAAGTCCTCCATGTTCAGTTATTAATAACAATATTAATCCTTCCCAAGCATCGGATAAAGTGTTGAATTATGAGCCCGATCCCGCTGAGAGAAAACCAATTTCTAAATATCCTCCTAATTTACCTGACCGAGTAAGGAGAAATTATATACAAAATGGACCTTGTCAACCTCGTGATTTTGTCTTTCCAAAATGAGATTTTGGAGGAATAATGCATCACTTTAATCTTGAATGGTTTAGAACATCATGTTCTCAATGGTTAAAATATAGCATTAAACAAAATGCAACATTTTGTTTATGTTGTTACTTGTTTAAAAATGAGGTTGGAGGATATGAAAAAAAGTAGGTGATGCTTTCACAACAGATGGTTTTAGAGGTTAGAATAAAGGTTTAGAAAGGCTTAAATCACATGTGGGTGACATGAATAGTATTCATAACCGATGTTTCAAGATGATGCTAGATTTAATGAACCAAGCACAATCCATTCTAACTTCTTTGAACAAGCAATCTGGAAAAATTAAAAGTGAACATCGAGTTCGCTTGAATGCTTCAATTGATGTGATAAGATATTTTTTGAAAGAAGGAATGCCTTTTCGGGGCCATGATGAGAGTGTAGCTTCTACAAGAAGAGGTCATTTTTTAGATCTCTTAAAATGGTATGCAGATAGGAAGGAAGATGTGAAAAATGTGGTGTTAGAAAAAGCTCCAAAAAATAACACCATGACTTCTCCTGATATTCAAAAAGATATTGTGAATTCTTATGCAAAAGAAACGGTGAAAGCAAGAAAGGTGAACTTATTGAGCGATTCCTTGGTTTTGTTCATGTTAAAGCTACAACTGCACATGCATTACAAAAAGTAATATATTCTTTGCTTTTACAACATTTATTGAGTTCATCTCTAATACGGGGACAATGGTATGATGGAGCTAGTAACATGCAAGGAGAAAACAATGGTCTTAAAACTTTGATTTTGAAAGATAATCCTTCGGCATATTGCGTACATTGCTTTGCTCATCAATTGCAATTGACTCTTGTAGCGATTGCAAAGAAACACCATGATGTAAATAATTTTTTGACATTCTTACTAATTGTTTGAATTTTTTTGGAGGTTATTATAAGCGTAGAGAGATGCTTAGAGATGATCAAGCTGAAAAATTAGATGAGTTATTAGTGCTTGGTGAAGTTCATACAGGAAGTGGATTAAATCAAGAACTTGAGCTTCAAAGACCAGATGATACCCATTGGGGATCTCACTTTAAGACATTGTGTAACTTTATTTCTTTATTCTCATCAATTGTTCATGTACTTGGAGTTCTTGCAAATCAGGGTTCAAATTATGAGGGGAAAGTACTGGCAAAAAGTCTAGTGGAAGATATAAGATCTTATGAGTTTGTGTGTATATTACATGTGATGTTAAAAATATTGGCAATTACATATGATTTGAATATGGCTCTGCAAAGAAAAGATCAAGATATTGTTAGTGCTATGAAACTTGTTGATTTCTCAAAGAGGCAATTGCAAACAATGAGGGAATCTAAATGGAATTCTTTGATGGAAGATGTCTCTTCGTTTTGTGATAAGAATGGTATTGTGATCCCAAAAATAGATGAGAAGTATGGTCTTGGAAAGTCAAAGCATAAAAGCTCAACTGTTACATATTCTCATCATTTGCATGTAGATGTTTTTTGTGCTGCTATTGATTTTCAACTTTCGGAGCTTAACAAACATTTTAGTGAAGTGAATACTGATCTTCTTCTTGGTATGGCAAGTTTGAGTCCCGACAATTCTTTTTCAAGTTATAATAAAAACAAGATTGTGAAACTTGCTACATATTATCCAAATACGTTCACTGCTTCTAAGCTTGAAGATCTTAGTTGTGAGCTTGACAAACTATATTGACTATGTGCGAGATATGGACAATGCATTCTCTAACTTGAAAGGGCTTGGAGATCTCTCGAAGACATTGGTTAAAATAAATATTTACAAGACATGGGGACTTGTTTATTTACTTGTGAAGCTGAGTTTGATATTACCTGTGGCTACTGCAACGGTCAAAAGAGCTTTTTCTTCAATGAAATTTATTAAAAATGACTCGCGAAGCAGGATTGGTAATGACTTTTTGAATGTTTGTTTAGTTTGTTATATAGAGGATGAAGTATTTGAAAGTGTACCTAATGATGCGATCATTGATCGTTTTCAAAACATGACAAGTCGTCGAGTGCAATTGAAATGATAATGTTTATATTCATATATTGTGTTTGTCTGGTTCGATACTTTTTAAATATATATATATA